ATTTATCTCCAACCTCGACGAGATAAAAGATACAAAAATTAAAAGAAACGTATATCAATGTAGACAACGCAAAATCAATCGCGAACGATACATAAAGAACACGAAAACGTATTGTGATTTGCACAAAATATCAAGCTCTATAAATGTTCTGTTTCTACTTCAGCTCGAGTTGGCMCGTCTAGCGTTTTTGTTGGAAAGAAYAAGTCACTTGTAACAAGCAAGAACGAACATAAGGTCAAAACCGTTAACGTGAGTAGAAAAGACCCCGTATGTATACCCCAGCATTCTTAGCAGGGCAAGAATTTTTCAGTTGCATTCATTGGTATTTTTTRGGACGAATTTGTCATTTGAAAATAAGACCAGCTTTTAAATYGGACACTGGGAAATACTGGAGTCTTTTACTTATAAAGGTCTTTACTTGAGTATAGTTTTGTTCGCATAATATGACGAAGCATCGTCATTGAATTATAAAGGTTAAAGCCGCGGGTAAGATCATCTATCATGGATAGCATCTCTACAAAAACTGCCGGTTAAATAGTGTTGTTGTTCTCCCGCTTGTAGGAAGCTGTCAAGAACCAACATAAGCCTCTGGAAACAAAGGAAAACGCTTTACATAAAGAAGAAGACAAAGAAGATGAGGAAGAAGAAGAAGATGTGGAAGAACAAGGAAGCGGTGCTGATAACATGGAGAACGAGGGAAGCGGGCAAGATCAGCTTACTGAAGAGTCCAAAGATGAGGTAAAAATTCGTTTCGATTTTCAGGCTCCACCTGGTTAACTGACCGAAATTCATATGATAAAAACATTGAAAAAATCTCACCAGCATTTGACAATTTCAAAATAATCTTAATATCTCTTAATATTSTACCTAGTCTGAGGCAAAGAAACCCGAGGCAGAGGAAAAGGTTGTCAAAGCCCCTGAGTCTCATAAGGACACCCCAAAGAAAATCAAGGTTGCTAAGAAACCAGTTCATCTCACGAAGATCCACCACCACAAACAACATCACCACAAACACCACCACAAGCACCACCATGTCAAGAAAACCAAGAACCCCATCAAAGCTATCATCAAAAAGCARAAGAAACACACTAAATCATAAACCTATGACGTCATCGTTACCATGGAAACRGAGTCCATTATACTATTGGGACATAAATAGTGTTGCCAAGGCAACTGACATGACTTGCTGGACTTCAAGAACGTTATATATACTTGCATAAGTGTTTGGGAGTTCTAGAACGTGAAAAAAATGTTTGGTTTGGAAAACTGAGTTTAGTAGGAAAAAAATGTACATTTTTTCAAAGTGGAATAGAACTTGTTTTTAAGGCTTAGATGCGTATTTTTAACTTTTTAACTTTCTTGATTAGTTTAGAAAAGAGAGAAGCTAATTAATTAAGCTTTGTTTAATTTCAACAATCAACTTATACGATTCTCAATTACCTCAATTAGTAGATCTTATAAGAAATAAAAGTCTTAAATTATAAACAATGTTGCCTNTCGGACACCTATTTACACCGGACACCCCTATATAACGGACACCTCTATTATAAACACAACTCTATTACAAGCACCTCTGTATTTCGGACACCTATTTACACCGGACACCCCTATATAACGGACACCTCTATTATAAACACAACTCTATTACAAGCACCTCTGTATTTCGGACACCTATTTACACCGGACACCCCTATATAACGGACACCTCTATTATAAACACAACTCTATTACAAGCACCTCTGTATTTCGGACACCTATTTACACCGGACACCCCTATATAACGGACACCTCTATTATAAACACAACTCTATTACAAGCACCTCTGTATTTCGGACACCTATTTACACCGGACACCCCCATATAACGATGTTGCACAGTCATACAATAGTTACATTGACACCTCTATCACGGACACCTATTTACACCGGACACCCCTATATAACGGACAACTCTATTATAAACACAACTCTATTACAAGCACCTCTGTATTACGGACATTTATTTATATCACAAAGACCTCAATAACAACAACAGACACTTCAACTGACACGCCTCTATTGAATTGAGACCTATAAATTACGGACATCTCTTTAACTTTAATACAGGCACCATRACCTTAATAATTCGGACACAACTCCACAGTAAAGGAACCTCCACAGTACGATCGTTATGAATTCTAAGGAAAGCGAGAAGAGATCCAAAAACCGTTATAAAAAGTAGGTAATCAATTTAACTTCAAAGCACCAAAAGCTCAAGGAATCTTAATATTTAATTAYACTGGAAGCTTTAATGAAAATAATCGCCAATTACCTCGTACCTGACAGTCTTATACCAATAAACTGGTGTATATAGTTACAAAACTCACTCGYCGATAATAATCGTTCTGTTWTCTTATGGTTGTTGGGRTCACGGCGTGACGTCACGGACAGCTTGCTAAGCACCATGGGAAGGTCACACTCGTCCTCCGAGATCGCCMTACAGTCATAGGGTTGTTGACGATTTAGTCATAATTGTAGAATTCAAAACAATCGGTTTCTAGGTTGTAACATTTCTCTCGCATCTTCAAGTCAAAAAGGTAAGACAATTTTGAATCATTTTTTAACGTAAAATCAAAGTTGATTGTCCACGTTGGCGCACTCGAAAGTCGCTTGTGGTTGACGATGAAAGTTCCCCTAAAAGACMTTTTATATCGRCTAAATATTTGCTTTCCGTGAGATAGTTCTTTAACCTTWATGTCCATGTCATAGTTGTTGCGCTGAGTAGAGCGCGTTTAGTTGTTAAAGCTAGGATTCGGTAGTTTCTTTTGAGTGATTTTTTTTAGTTATTTGATTTATACGCTTCATGATCACAAACGATTTTCCTCTTTAAGTAATTGTTAAGCACGGGGACCACTACTTCTATCAAGTACGTATAGACACCTTAAAATTCGTTAATTTTAAACCGTATTTCTTAAAAAAAAAACTCAACAACTTTACAAWTTTACAATCAATCTATAACYTGATTAARCGCTAAGGTTATGGCAAWATTTCGCTCAGCAAATTGGGATGAAATATTTTGGTAAAGGCACAGTATATGGACAYAAGTATATGTGTTTGTTGTATAAATTGCTCTTGATGTTATCGTATTTTATTATTCTTTTGTAGGCAATAAGATGCGAATAGTTATCTCAACTCTAGCCGTATTGCTGGCCTTCCAGGCTTGCTTTACACTAGGAAAAGGTAGGAAATCTCACATCAATGGTCTAAGCTCAACTGCGCGCTTTTAATTATGATATAATCTTATTYTAAGGAAGGCAATAAAACCATTATAGATAATTGAAGGCTAGATTTCATACTTTAAACTATAATTCGATTTATTTGAGTAATTAGGACAAAAATGTTGTCTTTAATCTCGATGACAGTGTTGAGATCGTCTAATTAAGAATTCAAGTCCAGGTTATGAATGAATAATGAATCGTTATCATGGTACCTGTCTTAACCCTTTTCAACCTGCRGTAAATCGTTAACGGTTCTCAARTTAGCCTACCAAGCGTTGAATCTTAGCGCCAAATWTTCTTCTTGTCATTCAAATAAATGTTGATTCACTTTCTTAAGCCAGCCAACTGTAAAAAGACTTTACATCACTTCATTGGCCTTTTGATATATGAACTGGCCATTGAAAAAGTCAAAAGTCATTTGATCAAATCGTGCGTTTTTTATACTCGTTTCTTTGAATTCAATAATTTGACAGTTTGATTGTATGTTAAAAAAGCTTAAAAAAGTTAAATTTGACATATTGTTGAATATAGTACTATAAAAGCAACTTCAAAATCCTGATTTATTTGATTCTCTATCATGTGACATACATGGAGGCGTTACCAATTGGTAACGAGCCTCTTTTCATTGGGCAAAGTGCTGATAGAGGTTCTCAAGACWGTCCTTGAGAGAAAGTCCTTAAACAAAATTTGTTCCATATTTAATAAAAAGAAACCARTTATTGTTGTGTTTAGTAATATAACCGACCACTTATAGTACGACCYRTTAGTAGTAAGACCAAGGGGTAGTYCGACCACTCTGAAGTACGACCGCTGTTTTGGTTAAAACTAACAGAAAGTACGAAAAACAGCCCTAATATGTTTTCCAATATYCTAAGCCTGTATTCCCAAAACAACTTTTAAAGTTTAAGCCTTRTGGGGATAAATMCTTAGCCCAAATCCAGTTGTCAACTAAACCAGCGGTTGCTTACAGCTGATTTGAACAGGAAAAAGACATATTGTACATATTTTTCATTTGCAGTTCACCACAAGCATCACAAAAGATCACTTGGAAGTAAGAAATATTCATTAAATGACATATTTATCTTAAGACTATCTTAAGAGCTCTATGAATATCGTATTTAGTTAGTATAGCACTGGAAAAAATCGTMCGCTTTAAAGGTTGTAAATTTGATGTAAATATGATGTAAGTGTCCAAAATTCTGGACACTTACATCATATTTACATCAAATTTACAACCTTTAAAGCGCGCGATTTTTTCCAGTGCAGTACAGTCTTATACAACATAGCAAGAATAACGTAGCARATCGACGCATAACAATGTACATCTAAAGTAKAGTATAGAACATGGCAAACAAATAACAGCAAAGATTAGACTTTCCCAGAATTCACCTGAATGAACACCAAAGAATCGTTTCAGTTCGAGTCTGGTCTTGATAGTTAAAAGAATCAAGTTCCGCCTCGACTTGAAACCATTCTTTTGTGATCATCCAAGTGAATTSGGAAYAGGTCTATAATAACATTGTAACTGCAAGAACTATAGCACTATAACGACAATACTTTAAATGCAACAGCYCTCGACATGACGAAAACTGATAAATGCGAAGACCACGAGTACTGCAGTAAATACACACAAATGGACTGCGCAAGCTCTTTCTTAAAACTCAACTGTAAAAAGCTATGTGGACTTTGCGGTAAGGCGCGTTACAATTAAATAAACTTGCGTGACACTTGTCTAGCTCGAGCTAATAATTYATGTTGTGTGACACTTGACATGAGTAACAAGTAATATCAAACAAATGTAAAAAMCRATGTGGACWTTGCAGAAAGATGCGTGACTTTACTCACGTCACGCGTGAGCTAACAACACGTTGTGTGACAAAATTAGGAGTYRGTAAACATTTCACGGTTTATGTTCAAGTACTTGAGTTTGATGATTTCATTCACAGAAGGCCACAAAAAGATCAACCTTCCCATGGTTCTTTACTTRAAGAAACACGCAGGACAAAAAACACGCGTGGAACGAAGTGCTAAACCTGTAGACACCTCAAATTGGCCAGTAAATGAACAAAAACTCTTTGATTATAAGGGAAATTATAATCATTGGACGTTCCAATTCAACGACAAGCACCCATTTACATCGAAAATACCAGAACCATTAAAACCTGCAGACAATGCCCAACAGAACGGAACTCCACAGCAGCAGAACAATGATGCAAACCWGGCTGCACCAGCACAACAGACACAACAACAACCTGAACAACAAACACAACAACCTTATCAACAACAACAACAACAACAGGCTGCCTATCCCGCTCAACAACAGAACACATACCAGCCACAGACTTCCGCTCCACAACCAGCAGCCGCTCCAGCACCAGCAGCACAGGCAGCCCAGCCCGCTCAACCAGCWYCACAGGCAGCTCAACCCGCTCAACCTGCAGTCGAACAGCAGCAAACACAACAACAGCAGCAACAACAGGATGTCCCAGCTTTRAGAATTCCAGCCAATGCCTTCAAACTCGGTAAGGTTGCAAAATCACTCCTACTYTAATGTGAGATCTACGAACCACAATRCTTTTTTTCGTTATATTTGRTTGTTTGTCTTCTTTRAACATTAATAAACATCACCGTGTTCAGCTGACCAGGGCAAAGACGTATACATTAACGTTCCACAAAACGGTCAGACAAACAACATTATGAACCAAGCACTCAACGACCAACTACAAGCCGARAAAGAYAAACTCAAGGATGAGAAAGAATGTACTACCAAGATGTGCTTRAACTATAAACCTGTTAAAGTCCCATGCCCCAAGGGACGGGAATGCAACTGGAAAGGACCTAACGCTCCTCAAAGTAACTGACAGTTGATATTATTAACACTTAATAATAAGTTGATAATTATTAATTACTGATTTTAAGCTTAATGGAATCTAGCAATAATATATAATATTTGAATATTGTTAAGCATGCTTAGTACTAACCATCTTGTCCCAATTTAACACAATAAATTAATGCATATCATTAAGCATGTCATTTATGGATACCTCTGACACATTAACATTGCTAAGCATGACGCAATTGTTGCAAACTGCTGACTTGTAAATCGTTAGAACGCCATTGAATATTAATTATGTCATTAAGCATGTCATAGGTACTGTAAACCGCTGACGCGCGCAAACCGATGACAATGAATATGCTAGGCATGTTTTACTATTGCTTACCGCTGACAAGCAAGTACTAACGTCGTGCATGCTTCTACAGTCAATGAAACTTTTATGGTGTACTGTGATGACAAGTTCCCAAACTGTGGCGTKCTTCGTTCTTCTTGTAACGAGTCCTGGCTTCAAATTTACTGTCCAAAGCGATGTGGAATCTGTAAACGTACGAAAACATTACTAACAACACAGGGAACCCATGACTTCTTTAACATAAACAAAAATAATTGAAACTGAGTCCACATTTGACTGCGCCATTTCGGCATGGAAACTAGTCTCTGCATGAGGACGAGGATGATAGTGAACTTGTAGCGTTTTGTTGTTACCAGTACACTATAATAGCCATGGTCCTAATTGTCTACTAAATATCGAAAAAAACAGAAGTTGTGGGTTCCTATACCTTCTAATTATTTAACGAATAAATTATTTGTTTGTAGCTAACTGTAATATTTACMAACATTCATAAACATAAAAAATGTTCAGTATTAGGTGTGTTAAAACTGAATATTCTGCTAATATCAACGTGCTAATATTTTCTAATCAAATTAAAAACTTACAAACTTATGGATGAAAGAAACAAAAACGACAGAACGACGAACAAAAACGACAAAACAAAAACCCGCGAAACATTTTTACAGGAAGAAAACCAAAATCCTTGTAATTGAGAATTCTTCTTATTAATGGAAATGGGGGTTTGGTGACGTTTCCTATCGATAAACATTTCATTTTGTTGTTGTTGTGGTTATTACATTACAGCAAACGATTCACAGCCACAGGCCGCCCAACCATCACCCATTGCTGAAGACGAAGGCAACAAAGTGTATCCTAGCAACGTCTCTGAGCTTAACGACGAACCCAATGTTAACATCCAATCAGAGCTCGTCGCCCCAGAACCCTCCGATAAACCACAGCGAGCCCGGTACACTCTTCATGTCAAACCTAAGCTGAAGAATGGCGTTCCCCAGCAACAACAGATCTTTATTATGCCACCTAACATTAAAGCAGGCAGCAACATTAAACCTTTAGTCATTCTAAAACAGGTAATACTCTTCTCGACAGCCGCTCTCTGCTCCATCTTGAAAGGTAACCATACCTTCTCTACCACTTGACCCACCATCTGCCGTTCTACCAACACACTTTCTCTATTCAGTCAAGTCCGACTTCATGAATAAAAAAGCCAAATYGTGTGTGTATTAGAACTGATGTTGTCGTAGCTGCGACGACACGTGCATGCGATTAAAAATGTCATGATCACTGTTCCTTTTCTTATTTCATGTTTTTTAACTTGTCGCTCTAATAGCTTCTCTTCATTAAGTTATCTCATTTCATTTTGATTTAATATTTACTTGTAGAAAGTTACTAAACCAATGGTAGAGAACATCGAGATTGATGTTCCACCAAAGGGTATCGAGTATAGCGATGAACCAAAGGTCGAGGTCATTGAGGGATCAAATCACGAGACTCTACAGGTTTCCCAGGGCAAAGCTGATCTTACAAAGGCAGAAGCTGACCTTGCTCAGAAGAATGCTGCTGCACAAGCTCCTGAAGCCCCAGCTGCTCAAGCCCCAGCCCCCGTTGCAGCTGTAGCTAGCCAACAGGCTGCCCCTGCTGCCGATGCTACAGCCCCGGCCCCAGCCCCGGCACCTGCTGCTGATGCCACTGCAGCTCCAGCCCCAGCCCCTGCTGCCGATGCTTCTGCAGCTCCAGCACCAGCCCCTGCTGCCGATGCTTATGCAGCTCCTGCACCAGCTCCAGCCCCTGCTGCCGATGCTTATGCAGCTCCAGCACCAGCTCCAGCCCCTGCTGCTGATGCCACTGCAGCTCAAGCACCAGCTCCAGCCCCTGCTGCCGATGCTTCTGCAGCTCCAGCACCAGCCCCAGCCCCAGCAAGCACTGAAACCTCACAGTATAATACCCAGGCACAAGGATACCCAGACAACACTCAAACCCAAGCTCAAACACAACAGACACAGGGATACCAAGACAACACACAAACCCAGACTCAAGGATACCAAGATAATACCCAGACCCAGGCTGCTCAGACCCAGTCTACTCAGGACCAGACAGCTCAGAGCTATCAGCAGCCATCGTACGACCAGAGTCAACAAGCTGCAGGTAAACCTCTATAGAACGACCACCCTAGGTCAATAAATGACCGTATAGGAGGGCTTAGAGAAGAAATATTAAGTTTCTTGATTAAATTGTGTCTTGATTGACAGCTCCAACTGCAGCACCAACAGCCGCCCCCGCAGCATACCCAGCACAGGATACCCAACAAACATGTAAGTATAACACAGGCAACCCACCCATTGTACTCAGCATATCAAATATAAATATCCTAGACCAACTGTCTACAGCAACAGAAACTAAACAAACTTTAAAATAAAGAATATAGTAATAATAATGATAATAATACTAAATCTATTACTTATATGCCGCAAATCGCATGTTAATATGGTCAAATGCTCCTGTAACAAATCACCTCAAGAACAGAAATCATCTGTAGCTATCTTTTRACAGGAAACCCTGTCGATCTTAAAACAGGAAATCCATTACTTATTTTACGACATTGAACTAACATTAGCACAGGAAGCCGAAATCATATCCAATAACCGTAATGTAGGTAGCCCAGCTAATACTTAAATWACATTAACACAGGAAGCCCAGCTAATACTCAAATAATGTTAACACAGGAAGCCCACAGGSTTCTAATAGCATGTAAATCTTTCAGCTAACCAATGTGTAGACGACAGCCTCTGTGCATCATATCCTAAAGACAGATGCTCAGAGAACTGGTTACAGAATAACTGTAAGAAAATGTGCAACTTATGTTAAGGTAAAAATACACCTTACTACCGCTGACCTTGAACACTAACTATTATCCAACACTGGCAGCACGTTTATCGTCTATCAACGTAATGTTATGATTAAACATTTKCTTGTAGTTAGTTTTATGAGGAACATAAAACACGGACAAACGAACGAACAAATGAAGAGATGAATGAATGCTTGATTCCGACAAAAACATGAATCAAAAAGTGGAAAAATAAATGAGTTAAAGAGAGAAAGAAATTATAGTTTTCAACTAGTTATAGTTTTACATAAGACACTATATCGGCGTCCATGTTGATGGAATGTTGATAAGAGATCTTTTGCTGAAGTACCACAACCAATATGGCCGCCATGACGTCACGCAAAACCAGCAATGGATCGATGTGAAAATATCGATGAAACAATGAGCGTTTCGATCGAATGAAAACGATAAAACACAACAATAAATAACAATACAAAAGTCTAGTCTGGTACTAAAATCATGTACGATTTTCTTCCACAGATGGTTAACTTATTCGCTTTATTAACAACAATACTATATCGCAAGAAGATACAAGCCACATCACACATCCCCACACTGGACGAAGGACAAAGAATCCTGAACTACCATAAACATGTAGTTATATTTATATCACGAGAAATAAGCCATCAATTCGTCCTTGTGGAAACATTACACTGTATAAAAATCGCTTTGTTCTTTAAAAATTTAGTTTTAATGGYTGTTTGGTATTGATTTATTATTTTGATCATTTGTGCGATACGTGGTTGTTCTCTTATCATTTTATGTCTTATTACAGTTCTAATAAAACATAAAAAACTGCATGTTGTTTACTGTGTGAAATGAGTACTTCAATTGACTTCTGAACCTTTGACGTCACCACTTGGTTTGAAATGCATTGTGGTATCGTTTTCTAGAGGAAACAAAAGAAATCCGCCAAGCATATCCTACAATGCATTGCGAATACGGGGCATGACGTAAAAGCTTCAAAGGTCTATTGTGGTCGACCACTACCGTCCGACTGAAGCTTGTGATTGATCGAGACATCAAAAACTACGATTGTCAGACATTGCCTATTGTTCTACTGTCTGTCTGTCTTTGTTATTTCATCAAATCGCAATCTTTATTCTAGCAGTAGTGGAAAACTCGCCTCAAGTGGTTTGATTTGGTAAATCGATCATCATAGACCTTTTCTGAAATACAAAATCATAGTGCATTGTGGGTTCTAGCTCCAGTACAAACAACACCATATTTGGCAGCATGGACAAAAGATGTTTGWACCGAATAAAGACCACAATGCAATGCAAACTACTATCTCWGAAAAGGCCTATGMGACGGTTCGACGTGTTGTGCATTGATTTCATGATATTTGTGAAATGATTGACAAATGCTTGAATGAATAGATAATGGATGAAAGAATGATATTAATGTAGTGAAATACATGACGATGGCAATGAGTAACAGAACATTCACAGCTGACTTGCTATAAAACAAAAACAATAATGATAGCTCAGACAACAATAACAACAGCTGAACAAGAACAGCAACAACAGCACGACCACCAGCAACAAAAACAACAACAGATGTCTGATGTTTGCTCTCATTTCTCCTCATAAAAAGAGCTKAAAAAAATTCAAGACGATTGGTCTCGCTTCCATTTACCATAATAATTATTTTGCTAACTAGAATTTTCTGATACGAAAACATACCAGAAGTGGCTCTGGTTGGAACAACCTAGACCAGTCTGTGGTCCAATCCCCAACAGAATGAATTCATAGATTGTCCTGCATAACCAGGCGTACGTAGCAGCTCCGAGGGAMTTTGGGCAGGACAAATCCAGGACGGTTTCTCTGGCCCAAACTCCCTGGGAGCCGCCTGTCTACGCTGGCTACCATAATGCGTCGAAAATGTCAATGACGTCAAGARAGAAAAGAATTAGGAATTAGATAAATGAATGGATGAATAAATGAATGAATAAATACAAAAAGGGACAAAATGAAACGAATTAATAAGATTAATGAGATTTTAATGAATACATGACCGAAGGACCGATTAGTAACTCATTGAGGGGTACAGTATGGCCAAGAGAGCGAGAGGTGGGCAATGGAATAGTTGATGTAAATCCACGGTAAAATCAACCAAAACATTACATTGTATTAAAATATCAGATTAACTCTTACACCAATACGTCCAAACCAAGCATAAAACTACTCTCTCTTATGTGATACGAAAAAGTCTTCATTCAATCAATCTTTAATCGCCAAATTGTAAAAAAAACTCGTCAACTTGTTCCTGTCAAATAAATTGATTTTTGATCACGTGGTTCACGGTTGAGTGGTTTTCTCTAACACCCGAGCAATTCAATGTTGGCTGATTTCTTTTCCGAATTCTGGTCAAAATGATGCTAGCGTGTTTACTGTCATTCGCGCTACTGCTGACTATCGATGCTCGACATCATCACGGAGGACAACGTGAGTACTTCAAACTCAAATAACAACGAATAACAATTGATATTTATGTTGTATAGGACAAATACGAAAAAATATTTACCTCGATTCTACTGGTGGTAGACGGACGCATAATCACAACAAATTATTTTAGTTTCAAAATAAGCTAAAATTACAAAACCTTGCAGTTGAACTAGATTAGATAATATTTTCGAGAGGAATATTTCAAAAAWAATACTTGATATTAGAAAATCATTACATTACTGACGAAAATGCTATTTATAGCAAAGTCTGCAACAAAGTAGATACATTTTCCAAATGTTACATAAACTCAAAATCTATTTGTATTTGAGATATAGTATCGATTTTCTAAGTATAAATGTGAGATTAATTGTAATTTTGAGATGGAAGTTGGTTTTGGCTTTGATAAATTGAAATAGTTGGTCCGTAGCAGGCACCATACGGACCACCGGTGAGTGAACAGGTTCAACCAGTGTTTGATCATAATGGGTTGTAACGCTTGGCTACAACGTGTGAGTGAGCAATTGATCTCCGTTTATAGTTGGCTTGCTTTGTTTTATTTAGTCTGATAGTAAGGTTGACATTAGATTACCACCGATATTAGAATATCATCATCATCATCATCATCATCATCATCATCATAATGATAATCATCAACATACCTTTGACTGATCATTAAACACACTAAAATATTCAAACGAAAAAGCATTAATTGCCATTACAGACATTCCAATTAAGGCACGTCAAAAACTTTTACTTTAGTCAAAGTATTTAGTAGTGAATTAGATAATGTCTGAGAGGTTAGTCCGCCAAAAATTATCTAAAGAAATACCACTGATCTGATAGTGTGTATTCGCGTTATTTAATACCTCTTCACCATGATTACAAAGCTTTTTAGCTCGAGTGAATGTTTACTACGGTATATTGAACGGCAAAAAGGGTATTAACAATCATTATTTATATTACCATCACCATCATTGCTATTGTTTCTAACATTAAAGCACAATATTTGAATTTAATTTATCCTTTCAGACCACAAAAAGTCTCACAAAAAGAGAGAAGTACCAGGCACAGCACGATCGCTACTGTTTGATATACCCAACCACAATGAAACAACTTACACCAAAGGTTAGTCAGGAGATACTAGATACATGAAAACTAGCGATCAAAAGAGGTCTGTTTATAAAAATATCTGAGAAATGAGTGGACAGAGTTTAATAATTCAACTAAGGTAGAATCGATTATCTCGTCTAGGTTGCGTTTACCAAGGTGTCCTMCGAAAACATGGCGAGGTGTGGTCACCAAGCGCATGTATCCCAGAGTGCCACTGCATAAATGCCAAAGTGACGTGCACTAAARTAGAATGCCCGGATCTTAATTGCAAAAGATCGATCAAACGGAAATGGAAATGTTGTCATGAGTGTCCACCAGAGTCACAAGTTGGTAAGGTCACGCAATACTAATGTCATGCTTCTTATGTCACAATAGTCGACTTTAGACATTTTGATTGAGTAACAATGTACGAAAGATTTGCAAACGAAGCTCTTAATGTATTCTTTAAAATCATCGAAGCATCGTCTATAATTCTTTTGTACATGGTTCACTGGACCAAAATATCTAAGGTCGGTTATTCATGCAATAGGATATATGTCAAATAATAATCATATTGTAAAATAATTAATATCCAAACATGTCACAAAATACTAAGTCACGCAACAAAATGTCCAACAAATCTGTCACAATACTCGTGTCACGCATCTAATGAATCCTAATTAGATTATTCATACTCTCTTTCTGGTGTTACAAGGGGATAATTGTGGAGTTCTTACAGCCGGAGGTAACGCCAACCACACTTGCTGTCACTTCCCTTATAAGTACAAGGATGTCATGTATTACACATGTACCTACGTCGATAGCCACAAGCCCTGGTGTGCCGTGACAGCTAACTACGACCGCGATGGTGTATGGGGCGTCTGTATAGGTACGTTAATATCTCATTCAAAAGATCAC